AGCCAGGAGCCCTGGATGACCACTACATTCACTTTCTGTCCCTATAAATTTGCCTGTTCTGAACATTTCAAGCAATGGGATCATACAATACGAGCTCTTTTGTGACCGGCTCCTTTCACCGAGAATAATGTTTTCTAGCTTCATCCACTTTTATCAGTAATTCATCCCTTTTTATTGCTAAGTAAAATTCCAGTGTTTGAATACACTTCATTTTGTTTATCTGTTCATCAGCTGATGGGCATTTGGGTCGTTTCCACTTTTGACTATTGTGGATAACGCTGCTATGAACATTTGTATGCCAGTTTTTGTGTGGATGTGTTTTCAATCCTCTTGGTTATAAACCGAAGGGCAGAAATGCTGGGTCACATGGCAACTCTGTGTTTAACTCGAGGAACTGCCAGACTGATTTTCTAAGTGGCTACACCATTTTACATCCCTTCCAACAGTCTGAGTGTTCGAATTTCTCCACATCCTCCTCACCAACGTTATTGTCTGTCTTTTGGTTATAGCCATCCTAGTGGGCAAGAATTTTGTGGTTTTAATTTACACTTTCCCGATGGCTAATGACGCTGAGAATTGTTTCATGTGCTATTAACCACTCGTGTATCTTCTTAGGAGAAATATCTTTTCACATCCTTTGCCCGTATTTTAATCGTGTTATTTGCCTTTTTATTATTGAGTTGTAAGAGTTCTTTATACGTTCTAAAGAAGAGAGTCCCTTATCACGTATATGATTTACAAGTAGTTTCTCTCATTCTGTGGGTTGTCGCTTGCTGGATGGTACCCCTTGAAACACAGAAGATTTAAACTTAATTAAATTTAATTAAATTCCGACGATTTTTCCTTTGGTCGCCTGTGCGTTCGGTGTGCGGTCACCACGTTTCGTTCCCGTTTCTGCGTCGCGTGGTTGCGTAACCCCACGCTCGAGGCGCCAGGCTCTTTCCCGCCCAGCTTCCACCCTCCGGGTCCGGCGCGTTCTCTCCCTCTCGCCGCAGCAAGAGCCCCAGGACTCGCCCTGCGCGCTTTGGTCACAAGCTCCCTGATCTTGTGGGCATGTTCTGGCCGAGTCCACTTGGCGTCCTTCCTCTGTGGTGACCTACAGCACGGATTCTGGCAGTGGACTCCGGGCTGTGGCTCGAAGCCCCACCGCACACTGGCTAAGTGATCTCGCCTGAACAACCTTCGACCTTGAGAAGGCTCACCTTCTTCATTCTTAAAACACTGTGGGCATCACGGATCATGACTCACGTGCGGGGCTTAGCCAAGCGCCTGGCACGTGATAAAGGATAAACGTTCGCTGCTCCTGAAATGCTGTTGTTTCTGGTCGTTTTATCTCTGCAGTGAAGCCTGCTTTCCACGGCTCCAGGATTCTGGTTTTTCTCTCTCTCCTGTCTTTGGTTGGTAAAACAGGCTGCACTCCACACCCTTGAAAGCATCCTGATGTTCTGCTCTGCCTCTCCCTTCTTGCTTTGGGCAGTAATGCCTCTCACTCCTAACAGATCATCACCCGCGCCTCCCAGAGTCCCCAGTCTTCATATAGCTTGTCCCCCAGCCGCCTGTTTTATCTGGCGTATCTGCCCAGCGGTTACCTAGGAGGATTTAAAACTTTAAAATTCCAACTCCTGAGCATTGTCTCTCCACCTGGCCCAGGTGTAGTCCCCTTTCTTTCCAAGGTCTAGGTTCATTTTCAATGTGCACATTTAAGATTTTCACCCTTCACACCTGTCCACTCCCTTCCACCATCTCTTTCTACTCTGCTCCTGCCTTCTCCTGAAGATAACTGGCCTCTTTGCAGCTTCTTAAAAATACCGGAGTCATGCCCACTTTGGGGCCTGTCTCCTGTGGTTCTCTGTCTACAGTGCTCCTCCCCCACATACTCCCCTGGCTAACTGGTCTCCTCAATTCAGGTCTTTGCTCGGCTGGCCTCCTTTCAATAATGCCTACGCTTTAAAGCTGCGACTTGCGTATCCATTTCCCCAGGTATGTCTAACCACCCCCCTACCTCGCCCCTCGTAACTGCTACAGGTTTCCTTTTTTTCCATAGAAATCATCATCCTCTGCCTTTCTCCACGATTTACTTCTTTAATATATAGTGTTTAGATATTTTTAAAAAACCTAATTAGGATATAAGCTCCACATGGGTAGTGATCTTCGCCTCGACCTAAAAAAGCCTCATGGCTGCTGGACAAATATCTGTCGAAATGACTGAACGGCCGTGACCTGCATGTCTCTGATCCGCGAGGAGGATGGACATCCTCACGTGATCACGGGCCCTACGTGTTTCCTCTTCTGTGAATTGCCTGTTCGTTCTTTTGTCCACTTGTCCATGTTTTTTTTTTCCCCCTCTTTTATCGATTTGTAGAACCGCTTTAGATGCTCGCGACGCTAATCCTTTGTTAGTATGTTTATTCATTTTGTTTATAACCGGCGCCTGTCACACTGCAAGACACAGGCACAGAGAATCGGTGGGGACGGCGGAGACGCAAAGTCGCGCAAATTAAACGAAATTGTCGGGGGAGCGTCCGTGTCGGGGGAGCGTCCGTGCGCCTTCGCGTTCGCAAAGGAACAAGAAGAGAAAGGCCTGTTTAAAGATCATTGAATAGTTACGAGGAGGAAAAAAAAAAAAAATCGCCCAACGTACCCTGGCAAGCAGTCCCCACACGTGGCATCGCTGGTGGCAGAGCAGTTCGCCTTCTGGAAGCGGTTCGCCACGGCGCAGTCCAGGCACGGCTTGCATTTCTGAAAGCCCCAGTCCTCCTTGAACCGATGCGGCCTGCACGGCACGCACTGGGCGTCCTCCCCGTAGCCAAAGCCACATTCCTGCGGGGATTAACAGGCAAGAGAAAGCTATTCAGACACCGCGAGCGTGAAAAAAAGGAAAGACGCCCGGGATGAAACGAAGACCTGGTCTGGTAATTACCGAGTGCCGGCCTTCAAAGGCAGCTCTCTCAGCAAGTTCGAATGTGTCTCCCACTGCTAATAATCTCTCTTACTATGAGAAGTCTCCTTAGTCATCCCCTTTATTCAAGAAGCCACGAGTATTTGAATAATAAAGCTTCTCGGGGTGGGGGGGGGGCCCTCGCTGCTGCATCATTGCAGTTTATGGCAGAATTATGGCACTTCCCGCTTTTCTAATTGAGCTGCTCTTGTGAATGTTTAGAAACTAAAAGTCAGGGAAGTATTCTGACACTTCTTCACTTATAAGGGCAGAAAATAAGTTCTTTGATATCAAAGAAAACGACGATAAATTCGCAAGAAATATCAGAAGCTTACAAGCCTGGAAGTCCCTCCAGGAGGGAGCACCTTGAAATGCTCAGCACTCGGACACTGTCCACAGCAGGAAGATCTTCACCTGTTTCTTAAGAGAATACCACTTTCGTTTGCTGAAGGGCTTAAGCTTCTCTGGATTCGAATGTCAGAACACAGCACTGTTTTCCAAGGGCGGGAAAAGGAACGGCTGTGTGACCCATGTTAGCATCCTTTCCACAAGTTCGAGAACTAAATAAACTACAGCGGATCATATCATGTAATGATAACGCAACCACAAAAGGAATGATGTGGATGTGTGCCCATGATAGTTTAAAAAATAAGTTATAACACAGAATTAGAAGCATGAGTCCCTTTCTCACGAAGATACTAATAATGAGTACTAACATGTACTGGGTGCTTACTCTATGCCAGGAACTTCATATGCATTATCTCTTTAATTCATACGCTTTCCCAATGAGAAAAGCACTATCGTTATTCCCATTTCACAGACAGAAGTATGGAGCTTTCCAGAAGGTACGTACCTTAGCCAAGGGGATAAAGCTAATGTTAGAACGAGGATTCAAACCTACCCAAAGTTTAATTCTAGAGTCAGATTTCACACCACGACACTGTAGGTGGGGTCTGTCGGGAACTTTATCTGATGTGTACCTAGGAAGATGTCTGAAAGATAACATATCAAATGTTATCACCAGTTACCTATACTTTGTGACGGTTTCTATAGAACCTTGGTCATTAAAAAAAAAAAAAAAATCAGACAGCAGCTTAAAAACTGGGGGAAGAGCATGCGTGCCGAGAGCAGGCTGAGCAGACCCCCAAACAAGGCGGGATGCACAGAGCAGGGAAGGGCTCCGACAAAATCCCCAAGCCTCAGCCCCTTCATCTGCAAACTACAGATGCCAGAATGCAGATCCCAGCTAGTTCAATATTCCCCTGTTCCTAGAAAACGTACATATGTTAATTTCTTCATCCATATTTACATAGTCAACTAAGCGATACTTAGTGGCCCCAAATTAAACCGAAACCAACACAAAGGATAGTATTCCCTGGACTCAGGATTCTACTCGATAAAGAATATTAGTAATAAGACTTTAATCCAGATTTCCTTTACTGATGAGCTCATCTGCATTTCAGGGGAGTGGTACCTTGCCTCCTCTTTTCCGTTACTCTGCATGTCTTTCACCTTGAACGTGCACGACCCAGAGTAGGGGACAGAAGACAGCAGAGGACTGCCATCCTTCTTAACCCCGGCACTCTGGCCGGTTTAGACAGTGGTCCAAACCAAAGGCAGAGACAGGAGGGAGGAAAAAAAACAATATCTGATCTGGAGATCTAATTCACAAATTAGAGTTTCTTTAAAATTGTTAACAGGGATGACAGGGAGGGAGATTTGGTAGAATTATGAGGTAGTCTCGATTTTTGTAATTTTGTAATAATTTTTTGTTGTTGTTGTTGCAAAAAGCATCTGTTTCTCTAGTAATCAGGAAAAAAATAAATATACATATCCACAAAGAATTTCCTGGGACATGTACTAGCTCTCTGCGAGAAGGCCATCGTTTGTTATTGATTGATTGATTGACTGATTGATTTTTGGTGCTTTATCCTTGGGCAATGTGGTTCCACGCGGGGACAGAAGTGTGTCTATACTGAGCATTCATTGTTGAGAGAGCCCCGTGCATCCACGGGCTTCCTTAAGCATGGCCGCGGGCCTCCCGCCCCGTCTCCCAGGATCGAGGCATATGAGGGATGCTCGGCGGTGAACCTCGCTGTTCACAGGCTCAGCGTTTCAATGTCAAAGGCAGAGGCAATGTTTCAGACGCGTGCTTTGATCCAGGCAGCTTGGACCGTAAGGGTCTTATAGACAAGTTAAAACAGCAAAGAAAAAAAAATAGGAAGAGAGAAGAGGAAAGGAAAAAAGGGAA